TTGTATTGATAAAGCCACTGGATGGCGAAACGTCTACAATAAAGATACCCAGATGTTGCACATGTGTCTTACTCTCATCAAGAAAGATTGAAGACTCTTAAGTTACATTCACTTGTTAGACGAAGAATGAGGGGAGACCTGATCGAAGTGTATAAGTGGAAGATAGGTATTAATAAAGGGGATATTAATAAGGTCTTGAGGATGTCTCTCCAAGAGAGAACCCGCAGTAATGGATTTAAATTAGATAAGTTTAGATTTAGAAAGGACATAGGAAAGTATTGGTTTGGAAATAGGGTAGTTGATGAGTGGAACAGTCTACCTAGTTGGGTTATTGAGGCTAGGACTTTGGGTAGTTTCAAATTTAGGTTGGATAAGTACATAAGTGGGAGGGGATGGATTTGAGTGGGACTTGCACATCAGAGCTTATTTCTTGGGTGGCATTGAAAATTGGGTTGGGCAAAGTTTGTTAGTGGGATGAATTGTAAAGGACCTGCCTAGTATGGGCCAACAGGCCTCCTGCAGTGTTCCTCCTTTCTTATGTTCTTATACATCATACACACTAGGGTATTTCTATACATCATACACACTAGGGTATTTCTATACATCATACACACTAGGCTATTTCTATACATCATACACACTAGGCTATTTCTATACATCATACACACTAGGCTATTTCTATACATAGTACGGATTGCAAATTGCAAATAATATGAATTGTCATGCATAAAATAAACTGAATTTCTAATATTCTATAGCTTGCAAAATAAGAGGTGAATTTTATCTTGAGTTAATTTAAAATTAATTGTACCCGATAATCTTACTTAATTCAATTGTACGTCAGTTCTAGTCTATTTTGAGTATTCGTTGCAAGGCGAAAAATGTGTGTTCTGGTGAAGCAGTGTTGCTGTGTATGGCTGGAATTATGTCACCAAGTCGGGCCGAAACGTCGTGGTCAGTTCCTCTCTCCTATGTGCGGGTTATTTGTGTATTGTTCCAGTCACAGTATTGTGCCTTTTTTTTTTTTTGGCTCTTTATGGACCCCGTAAGCTTTTAACTCCGTCTTTCGCTCTTATGAGGCTGCTGTCATTGCTTCCAGGTGTCCTAAGAAACACCTCTTTCAAACCTGCCGTCAGACTTCTTTTCTACCGTAATAATAATCTTTATTTCTACAAGTACAAGGTAGCTGACATCAATAACATACTACTATATAGAAAGCCTCTTGTTATGCTGATCATTTCCCGCAAATTAGGTCAGTTTTGTCCCAGGATGGTACCCACACCAGTCCATTAACACTTACTGATAGCATGGACAGCAGGTGTCTTAAGAAAACACGTCCTAATGTTTTCAGCCGTACCGGGGATCGAACCACGGACCACAGTATGTAAGCTGCGTGCGCTACCAACTCAGCTACTAGACACCGTAGTTCATGCACATTCTTTTTATTTTTGTTGTGAAGACTCTGAGTATTTATACAATACAAGAAGTAAATTTTCCAAGCCAAAGTAATCAAAACAAGAGAAACAGAAATGCTTCAGCTTGGTTAAGTAAGTGATTAAGAAATTTAAAATACACAAAGTCGTGAAAGTATATAACTGAGTAAGAATATATCAGCACAACTTTACTGAGTGAACATGTCAACACTACTGAGTGAACATGTCAACACTACTGAGTGAACATGTCAACACTACTGAGTGAACATGTCAACACTACTGAATGAACATGTCAACACTACTGAGCAAACATCTCAACACTACTGAGTGAACATGTCAACACTACTGAGTGAACATGTCAACACTACTGAGTGAACATGTCAACACTACTGAGTGAACATGTCAACACTACTGAGTGAACATGTCAACACTACTGAGTGAACATGTCAACACTACTGAGTGAACATGTCAACACTACTGAGCAAACATCTCAACACTACTGAGTGAACATGTCAACACTACTGAGTGAACATGTCAACACTACTGAGTGAACATGTCAACACTACTGAGTGAACATGTCAACACTACTGAGTGAACATGTCAACACTACTGAGTGAACATGTCAACACTACTGAGCGAACATGTCAACACTACTGAGTAAACATGTCAACACTACTAAGTGAACATGTCAACACTACTGAGTGAACATGTCAACACTACTGACTGAACATGTCAACACTACTGAGTGAACATGTCAGCGCTACTGAGTGAACATGTCAACACTACTGAGTGAACATGTCAACACTACTAAGCGAACATGTCAACACCACTGAGTGAACATGTCAACACTACTGAGTGAACATGTCAACACTACTGAGTGAACATGTCAACACTACTGAGTGAACATGTCAGCACTACTGAGTGAACATGTCAACACTACTGATTGAACATGTCAACACCACTGAGTGAACATGTCAACACTATTGAGTGAACATGTCAACACTACTGAGTGAACATGTCAACACTACTGAGTGAACATGTCAACACTACTGAGTGAACATGTCAACACTACTGAGTGAACATGTCAACACTACTGAGTGAACATGTCAACACTACTGAGTGAACATGTCAACACTACTGATTGAACATGTCAACACCACTGAGTGAACATGTCAACACTACTGAGTGAACATGTCAACACTACTGAGTGAACATGTCAGCACTACTGAGTGAACATGTCAACACTACTGATTGAACATGTCAACACCACTGAGTGAACATGTCAACACTATTGAGTGAACATGTCAACACTACTGAGTGAACATGTCAACACTGAGTGAACATGTCAACACTACTGAGTGAACATGTCAACACTACTGAGTGAACATGTCAACACTACTGAGTGAACATGTCAACACTACTGAGTGAACATGTCAACACTACTGAGTGAACATGTCATTATTATTATAATAAAAAAAGAAGCGCTAAGCCACAAGAGTGAACATGTCAACACTACTGAGTGAACATGTCAACACTACTGAGTGAACATGTCAACACTACTGAGTGAACATGTCAACACTACTGAGTGAACATGTCAACACTACTGAGTGAACATGTCATTATTATTATTATAATAAAAAAAGAAGCGCTAAGCCACAAGAGTGAACATGTCAACACTACTGAGTGAACATGTCATTATTATTATTATAATAAAAAAAGAAGCGCTAAGCCACAAGAGTGAACATGTCAACACTACTGAGTGAACATGTCATTATTATTATTATAATAAAAAAAGAAGCGCTAAGCCACAAGAGTGAACATGTCAACACTACTGAGTGAACATGTCAACACTACTGAGTGAACATGTCAACACTACTGAGTGAACATGTCAACACTACTGAGTGAACATGTCAACACTACTGAGTGAACATGTCAACACTACTGAGTGAACATGTCAACACTACTGAGTGAACATGTCAACACTACTGAGTGAACATGTCAACACTACTAAGAACATAAGCACAATTTTTTTACTGAGTACATCAACAGAAATTTACACTGCACAAATTACAGCAATAAAACACTTAAAAAAAAAAAAAAAAAAAAAAATCACATATTACTGTAACTGCAGAGTATTAAGATCAATGTTAATAAATTCTGGCAAGAAAATCATGAAAGTGAGAGAGCATATTAAGACAACCTTCCCGACTGAAGTGTTCCCTCGACTACTGTAAACAACAACTGATGTTGTTCCGTCACTAGCCACTGACTTCGATCTGATTTCATCTTTATATCTCAGTGTGTATTATTAAATTTGAAAACAAATTACGCCCGGATTTATATCACGATACTGCAAGAACAGAATTTTTATAAAGAAAATCAGTTTTGGTTAATGACTTTTCAATGAATTTATATAAACTTCTCACCATGGAAACGAATACAGGATGTGCTGCTGGAATGTTGCTCACCCACGGACCTTATTTTTTGTCACTCTCCCAATATAATAATAAACTTAATTTCTACAATTACATGAGCAACGTATGCATGCCAAGCTGACATCAGTGGCATACTGCATAGAAAGTCCCTTGTTAGGCAGAGTATTTAGGGCAAATTAGCGCTGTAAAGCATGGCCAGCCTGTGCTTCTTAAAGCTATGTAAGGATCCTGACTAAACTTCACTTTCCAGATTGTTCCACTTCCTGACAATTGTGTGTGTGTGTGTACTCACACACACACAATTCATAGCTCCTGGCCCCGCTTCTTCACTGGTTGCTACTAGGTCCTCTCTCCCTACTCCATGAGCTTTATCAAACCTCGTCTTAAAACTATGTATGGTTCCTTCCTTCACTACATCACTTGCCAGACTGTTCTAATTCCTGACAACTATGACTAAAGAAATACTTCCTAACATCCCTTTCACTCATATGAGTCTTCAACTTTCAATTGTGACCCCTTGTTTCTGTCCCATCTCTGGAACATCCTGTCTCTGTCCACCATGTCAATTCCTCTCAGTATTTCGTATGTCGTTATCATGTCTTCCCTAACCCTCCTGTCCTCTAGCGTCGTCAGGCCGATTTCCCTTAACCTTTCTTCGTAGTGTATTCTCCTTAGCTCTGGAACTAGTCTTGTTGCTAGCCTTTACACTTTCTCTAATTTCTTGACGTGCTTGACCAAGTGTGTGTGTGTGTGTGTGTGTGTGTGTGTGTGTGTGTGTGTGTCTACTCACCTAATTGTGGTTGTAGGTGTGTGTGGGTGTGTGTGTACTCACCTATTTGTACTCACCTATTTGTGGTTGCAGGGGTCGATTCACAGCTCCTGGCCCCGCCTCTTAGCTGATTGATTGTGTGTGTGTGTGTGTGTGTGTGTGTGTGTGTGTGTGTGTGTGTGTGTGTGTGTGTGTGTGTGTGTGTGTGTGTGTGTGTGTGTGTGTGTGTGTGTTAGTTACCATTTTTGTCTTAGGCACATGTCAATTAGACACTAGGCCTGGGTGTGTGTGTGTGTGTGTGTGTGTGTGTGTGTGTGTGTGTGTGTGTGTGTGTGTGTGTGTGTGTGTGTGTGGCCATCCTACCGTCCACATCCACCGTGGCCAGACACCTTCTTGAACTTGGTAGGGTCGTCTGGGTCCTTTGTAATATCCAGTTCATCTCCTCCCTCACAGATCATCTTTCCCTTACACAGGTTGTATATATGTAGGAGTCGCTTTCTAGGTTGTCCCTTCGACTTGGTCACTATCTCCCTCACCTTTGGATGTTGCTGTGGGCATTAACTTTAATGAGATATTGTAAAGCAAAGGACATAAGTTTCTATTATTGTAAAACCTGTTGAATAAAAACGAATTAGATGAGGGGCTTGAACCGTGATCCTGAGACTGACAGGTCTAGCACGTTACCAGGACCGCAGTTCGAATCTCTCATAGTGTGGCTTTACTAACCTAATTCAAGTCATAATAAATGAGTCATGAATAAACAAAAAATGGTCGGAGGGCTCGAACCGTGGTCTTGGTAAAATGCTAGACCTGTCAATCTCAGGACCACGGTTCGAGCCCCAGTCCACCTTTCTGTTTATCACTGTTAGTCATTCATTATGACCTGAATTGACCTCATAAATCAAGCATTTTGAATGGACTTAAGATTAAGCCTTAAAATAACAGAATAGATAAAGTTAGACTATTTGCACAATTTTTTAACAGTTGAAAACGTCAGTATCTTACGAGGGAAAACGCAGTGGTAACAACAATGCTGTCACAGCTCGGAATGAAACTCACGAAATCGTAATAACACGACTGCAAACAAATCAGGGAATGGGTGGGGTTTGAACCCCATGGCCTCTTCAAGGGAGGCTCCTTGGAGACCTTTTGGTCTCCTTCCTCAGACCAAATCTAATTACCCCCAAATCCCCCCTTCACTATCCCACCCTCCCCATGCCCCCCTTTTCCCTCTTTCCTCCCCTCTCCCCACCCTCCCCTTGTTTCCCATCCCATTTGCAGTCTCTGGGGTCCTCCCATCCGGCATTACAGTTTCTAGGTAGGGGGAAGTGTGCCGGGGTTCATCCCACTCCCTGAGGTCCCTCGGGGTTGGTGTGGTTTGCCGTGGAATCTGAATTGTCTGAAGGTGCCCTGCTTCCTTCCCGGATTTACGAGAAGTGAGCGGGGTGCCCTTTGGATGATGGGTGTATCTCTGGAAGCTGCCTGTCGGTTCTGGGAGGTGGCAGCAGTAGGAGGTATGCTTTGTGGTGGGTTTCTGACCACCCTTTCTTTTGTCTGCCAAGGTGGCTCGGTAGATGTAAGGCTGCTATCTCGGAGCGCTGGTTTACTGGTGTAAAGGGTAGGGTATGGTACAGGTTCCACGCTGCATCTTCACTACCTGTGGGCTTGAGGCCCTCTCGGATGAGGGGGTGAACTTCCAGCCTTTCCGTGCCTCCTAGTGACTGTCCCTCCACCGTCCTTTTTTTTCTTTCTTTCTTTTTTTCTAAAAATAACAAGAAAGGACATACAGAAGAATCACTTTTATTATGGAGACTTTACCTAATGAAACCGTTCCTCCTCCCAGACCCCTTCCTGATCCCACACCCTGTTCTGACCTGGCTTCGTTATCGGTCCGTTCTCTTGATTCTTCTCATACCCCTGTACCTTCTGCCAGTGGCCCTTCATCACCTGCTTCAGGTGCTGTGGTGTCACCCGTTTTGGTCCATTTCGCTACTTCTAGTATGCCTTTTACAATGCGTCTGGCTTCCCCAAATATGGTGCGATGGTTTTCCGATCACCCGCCTCCCTTGGGTCAGACCACCCGTGGTACTACTCCTAAGTGTCTAAGACAACCTACCGATGACAGTTCATTGACGATCGCTCAAAAACGACCTACATGACACTCACTACCTTTGCGTACTAGGCTAACAAGTACACAATGGACAAAATTCTTTTCTTTACAAATGACATCTCAAATGAATTATCTGTCTGATCATGGAATTGGTAAAACTCTTTTAAGGCACGTTGGCCAAAATATATCTTTCCACACTCTTCAAAGCAGTTTGCGTGTCATAACTTTACAGAATTTAGAGCAAGTGCTTGCTTCTCCCACATCACTTCTATTGATAACATACCGGTCACCATCTGTAAGCACGCTACTCTTAAATCTTACAGTGGTACTGTGGTCTTACCATGTAAAATTGTACAGAGTGATTTTTTGTCTTGCGGCAATGATTTTTGGAACAATTAGTCCTTCAAAACCTCCCTATTCTTAAGATAGATACATACATCCTGCCCGCTCGTGGGCAGAGGCACTTTCCTAGTAACATAGCTCGTTTAACCTTTGACTGCCATGAACTTCTGTCCTCTGTCTATATTGTGGGCCATTGTTTAGAAGTCCGTCAAGTAGTTCCCACTCCTCAACAGTGTCATAACTGTTAGCATTTTGGGCACCCCACTGAACACTGCAGATCTGCGGTGGAATGCTCAATCTGCAGTGCAGCAGATCATTCCAATATGTCTTGTAGTCTTACTCCTCTTGTCTCAATTGCAAGGAACCTCATCATTTTCCCGCTGTTGCCTGAACGAGAGATCCGTTACCTTAAAGAGCATGAAGGCCTTACACTATGGCAATCTCTCAGCTCAGCGTTAAGGAAAAATTCCTCGTGTCCCATATACTCAAGTAACCCATAGACCTCCAACCTTGACAGTGCTCCCGTTATTTTATTTGTACATAATGTCTTCATTACAATGGAATATTTGTGGCCTTAGGGACAACCGAGGAGAACTCCAATTGTTGCTCTCCAAGTTGTCCCCAGTAAGTGTTGGGTTGCAAGAGTCCAAAATTCGTTCTACTGTCATTCTCCCCATTTCAGGCTACTTGCTGATACAGTCTTCCAATCCTTTACCTGACAAATCTTGATATACCATATTAACAAGTTTTTATTCGTTCCCTGCTGCATTATACTGCAGCTTGTATTTATTTACACCGATGGTTTACAGTTTGCTCTCTTTATCTATCTCCCTCCCATGCATTCTGCATCTCTGATATAGCATTTTTAATTTTATCTCTACTGTCGCCCATATTGTTGTGTGATTTTGACACTCACCATTACCTGTGGGGAGGGTCCCACTGCGACTCTCGTGGTGATCAGTTGGAAACTCTTCTTGCTTCTCATCCTCTTTATGTTTTAAACATGGGTGCTCCTACCCATTTTGACTCTCATACTCAGTCTCTCTCCTGCATTGATCTTTCTATCTGTTCCTCACCCATATCTGTTCTTCCAGATTTACACGATAGTGATCACTTTCCAATCTTTCTTACTTCTACATATGCCTGACCGCTTTGCAGCCCTCGTTGGCAATTTGTTTCAGCAGACTGGGACTTACCACCTTACCATCTTACCCCCTGTTGTGAGGACCCCCTTTCGTCCTCTATTGATGAACTGGCACACTACTTTTCGATGCAGTGACGCGTTCTACCCCCAAACCTCAGGTAGGCATTCTCAGGCATATGTACCTTGGTGATCTCCTACATGCACCCACGCTGTGCATTTAAAACGTGCTGCATGGGGTTATTATCGATATAATTATACCGCAGAGTGTCTCTTGGATTTCAAGCGGGCAAAGGCAGTTGCTCACCGAGTCATCTGCAATGCTAAACACACTTGTTAGCAAGACTACGTGTCTACCATTAACTAGTCTTCCCCTATGTGTGCGATTTGGAAAAATTTGCAAAAACTGTGTGGTAGGTACACTCTGGACCCAGCTCCCGTTTTGCGGGTTGCTGGAGTTGATGTTGTGGAACCCTTAGAAGTTCCCACAGCAATCGGGAACTATTTTGTCCGTATCTCCCGAGGGCTTCACCTCTGTCCCTCATTTCTTGCGCCTAAACCTACCAAAGAGCAATTGCCCTTAGATTTCGCCTCCGATGGGTTGGAGCCATATAATGTACCTTTTACTCTTCAGGAACTGGTGTCCACGCTTTCCATTTGCTGGCCGTCAGCACCAGGACTTGATGATATCCAAATCAGTATGCTTCAACATCTCCATTCTATGGCCCTTCCATTCTTTTACGTCTTTTTAATATAATTTGGAAACGAGTGGCTCTCCCTCAACACTGGAAATTGGCTATTGTACTACCATTTCGCAAACCGGGCACCTCTGGACCTGACACCTCTCACTATCGTCCCATTGCCCTGACCAGTGTGGTCTGCAAGGTGATGGAACGCAGAGACGTCGTTAGGGGGGCGGGGGTGCGGGCTGCCCCGGGTGACACCATTTAGGGGGTGACACCAAAAAGCCTCTAAAGAAGGTGACACTAAGAACATAAGAAAGGAGGAACACTGCAGCAGGCCTACTGGCCCACACTAGGCAGTGCTGCAGCAACATAAGAGAAAAATCCTTTGTTTCTATATAGCCTATTATATGATTACAGAGTACAATAGGCCTATATAGGGAAAATCAATGATGCTTTATGATAAACTACGATAAATCGATAATTTTATTTATGATATTTTGGAAAAACCCTTAATCGCCCTGGCATCACTATGATCAGTCATCAGTGACGTAACATCAATTATCATATTTCGAGCTTTACTTTCACTTATTGGTGATATCAATAATGTTCATGAACCAAGATATATGAACGAGTGAGAACTGGCATTCATGAAATATTGAAATAACCGTGGTACGTAAGAACATAAGAATGAAGGAACACTGCAGAAGGCCTACTGGACCATACAAGGCAGGTCCTTATCAAAACTACCCCTACCCAAAGCTTTTCCACCACATGTATAAGAACATAAGAACAACTACAACTACTACTACCTCTACTTGTACTACACCTCACTCAAAGCCTATATATATACCCTCTGTGTCCATGTATTGTTTGTATCGGCTTGACAAAGTTCCTGGAAAGTGAAACGCTGCCACTCTCTACTTTGTATTGGACTGAACAAGCCATTGTGTGGCGAAACGTTTCCTTAATAAAGATTCTCATATGTTGCATAAGTGTCTCAATCTTCAACTTGTCAGTTTTCAAACCATTTATCACAGTAGTGAAATAGACTGATGCAGTGGTGTTAGACTGATGCAGTGGTCCTAGACTGATGCAGTGGTCGGAGAAGTGGCAGATGCAGTTTAATATAGACAAATGCAAACTTCTAAATGTTGGACAGGACAATAACCATGCCACATATAAACTAAATAATGAAAAGCCAGATACAGCGATTGATAAACAAGGAGGTCGACCGTTCGTCATTGTAGGAGCTGCCAGATATCACCGGCT